GGACTCTCCTGTTCTTAATTTTTGTTGAAACCATGCATACCCCTTTGAAGTATTGGCTCTGGTAACACACACCTTATCCCTCTCTGTGCCAGCCATATGAACCTATTTACATTGTAAGATTCAGCCAGAGGCCAGGAAAGAGATATGTATAGTAATTCCAAACATAGTCTATAAGGAAGTGCCTCAAAGATTTTCATAAAAGTCAATGACACCTATCAAATGGCATTAGAAACATGTAAGCAGGCATGGCCATGATTACCTCAAACTGACATGATAGTACCTGTCTCAAAGAAACTGCACTTTATTGAATTGTCTTTAAACATTTATATAAAAGTAACAAAGTCGGCGAAGCAGTTTAAACTTCCACCAAAACAGATGTCAAAGAGTGACTATGCTTTGAAATATAAATGAAGTCAAGGGTCTTCTGTTGCTTTTGAGTAAGACAAGCTGACTGAAGAGCAAAACAATTTAAATGAAAAACATTGTTTTTATGTTGTGGTACTTTTAGCCATAACTATCTATCTGTCTGTCTGTCTGTCTGTCTGCCTACCTAATAAAAGTAATGTGTGTTCCCTAAGGTAAAGAAATAAGACTGAAAATGCACTCTAAATCCAGCTTTTACTGCTTTGGAATAACAGGAGAAATTATTTTCTGTCACTGGATCCTTCATCAATACTGGATACTACATATCCTTATAGGAAATTATATACATTTTAGCAAAACTTACTGAGTACCATCAATGCCTGTTCTAGGTATGATGCTAAATATTTTGGAGATTAGTTCAGCTATCTAGTTATGAAGAATGACAGTCTGGAGTATGTCATACATCTACAGTAAATCATAGATCTGCCATAAATTATCATAGTAGAAGGGGAGTTGAGATAAAGCCATACACATTCAGCAGTAACAGCTTTGGATCACCACAGAACATATGTGTGTGCTTGACTGTAAGTACTGAAACCATCTACATTCTTCAAGAGAAATGTGTGCTTGGGGGACTTTTTGCTTATACCACCAAAACTTTGGAAAAATCGTGTTTTTCAGAGTTTTCCAGGATTGAATTTTCCAGTAGGTTTTTTCACATTATACAATATTGACAACATTTGCCACTCTGTCACCATCAGCAACTGATTCGGCATAGATCCCTGGCTACTCACACTGCAGGGCTTCTCTATCGTCAGTCTATGTATGAGCATGTGTTGAACACATTAAAATGAATCATCAAAAGGCACCAGGTGCATAGAGTGAACAGAGCCATATAAAAAAGCAAGAAAGTAGTAAGTGCTATCATGCCCTGTTTTCCATGAAATAAACAAGGGAATACTGCACCATTCCGTATTTATTATGGTTAAGGCTTCATTGGCTCCCACAGTAATGCAGACCATCCCTATTGCTGAAGAATTTAATGTACTATGAAGAAGAGGGAGATGATGGAACTAACGTAGTAAGTGCTAAATATCTTGTGAAAAAATTTGTTGTGGGCTATATGCATTTGCACTTTGTAACCCATTCTAAAACTCTAAAAACACCCCTGGTGTTCTGGGAATATTTGCGTTTTCCCATATTCTAGCTCTTACCCGAGTTCTGGCATTCCATAAAGTCCCATATGGACATAAAAAGTTGCCAGAACTCAAATTCCAAACAGGACCATCTCCTGTTCTTGCTTTGTACACATCATTACGTTGCACTGTGTGTCCAAGGTTCCTGGGTCCTCCCACGCTCTCAGCACCTGTAGGTTCAGCCTCAGCATCTGATTCCATTTGGTTGTTGGCTGCAGCAAGTGGCTGATCTGTGGAGTCTCTTCACCTCTGGTCAGATCTCTGTCCTTCCACAAGCGCCCTCCTGCTGGTACCTCCCCTGCTCTAATGTTGATGGGCTGCGTGGAGCCCAACCAAATCCAGAAGCCAGGCTCGTGGGAACACACTTTTCCTCCAAACTGTGTTCTGTGTTTTGATAAGGTTGCAAATTACACTCTATTCCGGAAGCTCTGGAAGCATGTTTCCAGTGCTCTGTTAATACCTTTCTGCTTGCTATCTCTAGCATTACTAAGATAGCCAAGTATTTTCTCCTCAAATGCCTAATCAAAATAAAAGTTAGAAATGCAAGATTAATTACTTTCTAAACCTTTTCTCTACATGTAAACAGTAAGTCTGACCATGAACAGCAGTTTGACATTTCATTTGCATTTCACTAATATGCAAATCTGCTAAAAGTAACCAAAGAAAATATGTGCTTGTTACTGTCATAACTGTTCTAAGGTCAGTGCTGGGTTGGGTTGGGCTATACCCTGTTTACCTTGCTGGAGGCACAGTGAAATTTTCCATATCTGCATATTGACAGCGATCCTGAGAATTCAGTTGAAAAATACTATTTGCTATTATTATTACTGTTAATTATTACTGTTACTGTTATTACCGTTAATGCAAGATGTTATTGACTGCTGATATCATGGGGCCGCCATCCAAGATTGGAATATCAATACCAAAATTCAGAAGTGGCCAACACATACCTCCCTCAGAGTCCCAGGTTAACCCTTTGTATGCCTATCACTGAAGAGTTGTGTTGATGATCTCCAACCTGAGATTAACTGGATGCTGTACAACCTTTGTTGGAGAGATGGGCAATGAATACCAGCTGGACCATTCAGGTGGTATAAGGAGTTCTCTCAGGGAGTCCTACCTATATCATTCCTCCCTTTCTTTCCAAATTTACGTTGTTGGGCCTTGCTGAAATGTTATTATGGTTTATTTGCTGGGAATTACTTTAAATACATGTTTTCTTTTCTAACAAATAAAAGGGAACCAAGCCATGCATTCACAAAATAAAACCGTGGAAGCAGCAGCTCATGTGAAGTGCAGATACTTGGAAGGATAAAAGTTAGAAATCCTGCCTTTCTGTTGGCAGGCAGCTACCAAGATCCCATCCCTGGGGCAGGAAGGACAGGGATCATTGCCCCACTGCAGCGATAGCAATGCCAGCTGCTTGCCAGCCTGCCGAGGCCCGTGTACCTCATACAGCTCTGAGAGATTTGGCAGCCCTGACTTGTCTATCTGCATCTCCAGTACAATATTGAGGGAGGATAACCAACAGCCTTAGGGATGAGGCACTCAGCTGAAAATATAAGCTTTGGGCTTTACCACTTCAAAGTGCTGACGATATTCCTGTGTACCTCACAAACCTTATTTTCGACATTTAGAATTTTTTATATCCCTGCTGGCAGGCAGTTATCACCCTGATCCTTCCGCTGTACTAACAGTTGCACAAGATCACCCCACACAGAGCTGGGAACAGGTCCCAAGTGTGACAGATCCAGATCCTGGTCACACTGCTTTTCAGGAGGAAAAAGCCATACCTGGAGCTCTGCTCACTTCAGACAGGTTGCATACAAGGACTGGAACAGAGGGAGTGGGATGCAGACATTACCGTCTCGCAAACCACCCTGCAAACTAGCAGGCGTGTTGGGTCCACCACCTGCAAGCAGGTGGATATATAGGATAAAAGCCTCCTGCCACTGTCATTTCTGAAGTTGTAATCTGTGTTGTGCATCTTCAGATCTCGGATTTAAAGTTTTGAGAGAAAAATATTCGTAATCTTATGATGAAAGATGAATAATAGTAGACCATAATAGTAAAAACCTATTGTTATGTGGCAGCCTTTCACCAGGTCTAAATACATCTTTTAAAGCTCAAGTGAATCTGCAATCATAAAAATCAGCTCATTAAATAAATGGTTTAAAAATCAGACATGGAGCTGCACAAAACTGTGACTGTTAGACCCTTTCTCTGCCTGACTCCACCAGTTAGCAGGCAGGATAGGTACTTTGAAGCAAGCTTGTTACAGCTCAATGTTAAATGAACAAAGAGGCAGAGTCTAGTTGCACTAGGGTGCACTTCGGAAAGGGAGAATGAGAAAAAGAAGTACTCTTTGGCATACTTAATTTAAAGGGGCTTAATTTAAGGGAAAGTTAAAGAATTCATCACATGTCAGTAGCAGAAAAATCAGTGCTGTATTCAGTCATACATCTCTCACTATATTTCTAACACTTCATGGTTTCTCAGAGAAAGCATTAGCATTTCTTTCATTTCTATAATAATAAAACATGAAATTTATTATTAAAAGGTAGAGAGTAGAGACAGAAGGTGGGGAGCTTTCATCCAGGGGGACAAGACAAATGCTCTGTAAGAATATTACTTAATGTGAAACCATGACTCACATGCAATGTCATTTTAACAGCTTTCTGTGTTTAATTTCCTTTCCTTTAACCAGTAGCCTAACACAGCGGCACTCAGACTGCGGTCTATGGACCACCAGTGGTTTGCAGGGCTCTCCCAGGTGGTCTGGAGAATTAAATGTTTTGGGAGCTACGCCATATTTGACAGATCTTGGGGAAGGGACCTGAGTGTTAGAGAAGGCTATTTTTTCTTTTTGCATGAATGGTCTCCAGAGCAAAAAAAAACTAGGAAGCCTTTGGTTTGGGGAACCCTATTTCTTTTATATTTGTGGAAAAAAAAAAAAACTAACAGTTGATTTTTGGACACTGGTTTACATTCTCAGTGTCTATAGCATTCAGAAAACCTTATGCCTTTGCAACGGAAGACAAAATAGAATTTTATATGATGTAGAGCAGCACAACCAAAGAGTTGCAAAACAGGAGTGGAAAGTATGGAATTTTTCTCCTTTTGAAACTTAGGGAGATTTCAGGTAGTTGGATTTAATTACCTAGGCAAGACTTAAACTTGGCTTTGCACTTGCCAGCTCCTGTGAGGTCCCAACATCCAAAAGGGAAAATTTTCCCATGGTGAGAACAGGCTGTGTGTCTTCTCTTCTGCTCCTTGAGAAGTTTTGTTGGATGGAAGGGAAAGGAAGGGAAGGGAAAGGAAGGGAAAGGAAGGGAGCAGTAGGGGAAGGCCAGTGCTTGGATGGAGCATGTGTCTTTGCTTCTCTAGGCCCACCCACCTCCAATGTGCCAAGCACAGTTCGTGTCCGCAGAAGGAGGCACAATGGCTCATCCTGCCAATAGATACACTGCCAGTGGTGTCTGTGCACAAGTTGACGATGATGACGGAGACACCAGGAAAGACAGGACACTGCTGGTATGTTTTACTCACTACTCTGCTCATGACTCCAATTGATCGGTGGCCCTGGTGGGGGCAGTTTGAACTCGGGGCTAAAATAACCCTGTTTATGAGATCCAGTGAGCTCATTGCCTAAGGGGGCATGGCTGCAGGCCAGATAGGAAGAAATGTAATACTTAAATATGTGTGTACTTCAGTGTTCAAAAATGCAACGGTTTGGAGAGTGTAAAGATGATGGGGAAAAACTGGAAACCTGTTTTTATGTCCAAAATCAGAGCTTACATCAGAAGCAAGAAGAAGGCCAATATAACTCATTTACAGGGAAATAATACTTCCAGTAATGTTCATTTAGCCTATTTCTAGCAATGAGGTCTATCCTGGGAAATTTCCATTACACTGTGATGGGCTGAATTAGAATTATTAGAATCAAATAACTGTATTTGACAGAACACTTGGAAAAGAGAATGCTACAGTTGCAGAGTTAGCTGCATGGCTGTCCTTTTCTGCTCTTCTCTGATTGTACCTGTTCAGATGTTGGTCTTCACTTTTCCTCCAGTGGAATTCCAGTTTTTCCAGATTCAGACTGAACTTTAGGATGGTGAACTCTGTGCCGTAACCCTGAATACCCAACAAGGTCTGAGTAGACCTTCAACATGCAGGTCTTTTACAGACTCATTTGGGAAAAAAACAGTTGTGATAGATTCTGCTTTAATTATTAGGTCATAGAAGCCCGTTCTATAGTCTAACACTCTTGCTGTCCCTAAAAGCTAGCCTGACTTCCATTGAATCAATCTGGACTTCAGTGAGAGTTAATGTAAGCCTCAAATAGTGGTGCTAGGGTCTTGCAGTTGTCCTGGGAACCTTGTAATTGCCCAGAATTTCTACATTAGTGTCCAGTGTGACCTTCACTTGCACCCTCACTCTTGGTTTCTCTCTTGCATCAGGAATATTTGGGGAATGTTGGACGTCAGAGGGAAGACGAAATGGAAACTGCAGGAGGCTGCTATAAAGAGGCTTAGCCTTTTTGAGAGGAAATCTTTCTACAGCTATTATTATTTAATGCTATTTTGGCCTTTGCTGTCGTATGGGATTTAAGAGGAAGACTAGGGCTTCCTTCTTGCCTTATTTAGGACTTAACCTAGCAAACGTCTTAGCAGCCTCAGCTACCATATGTATTATTGGTATATCTTGCATGGGAGCATTCACTGAAAAAATAATTCTACTTTCACAGAGTAGGGTTTTTTTTAGGAACATTGTATCAGTTCTTGAAAAGTTTTCTTTTTTCTTTCCTGTCCAAGTCATTAAAAAAAAAGTTTTATGTGAGAAATAAAACGATCCTGAAAGCAAAAACTAAGAATCAACAGGAGAACAAAATTTTTAAGTGTATCAAAACAATCAGGTCTAAAAAAATTCCCCTAGGAAATCAAATTGTTATTTTGACATTTTTCCTGGTTTGGAAACAAAAGGTTCCAAAAATCCTTTTTTTTTTTTTTTTAATGGAGGGAAGAATTCATTTTTCTTGTGTTCTTTTAGTGGGGGTTGAGGATGATGAGCATCTTACAAGATCATGCTCTGGTGCAACTCCACTGAAGGTCACTGAAAGTGAATGATAATAGAGCAAAACTGGACTAATAAGAGAATCAGGCTTGTAATATACCCTGGGGACTCAGAAAATTCCATTTTCCTTTCCATATTCTTACATTACTCACACTAGTACCAATACCATGAGTGCCTTCAGGATTTCAACTGTTAAAAGTAAGCCATTTTAATATAGACATCATTTAAAAATGAGTGCAAAACCAGGTGGGAGCAAATGCATACTGCTGTACAATCAGATTAGATAATAACTCACCAAGGAAACCTAAGAATATTTCACATTCAGCTTCTGAGCTGATAATTAACTTTTTTTTGCCAGACTTCAAACAATTTTATTGTAGCTACTAAAACAATATACTACTAAGCCACCAAAATGATATTTTTGGAGTGAAATGAACTTTCAGTAAAATTTGATACCTCCAAAGTACTCTTTTTAATCCCTTGAGAGAGATTTTTTGCCCTTTTTTTCATCTTCTTGTGAAGTGAGAGGAATGTGCAAACCAGTATGGGCTAGTAAAGCATATGACACAAAGTTTGGCTCTACTGAAGTCATAATTGGATGAGACTATGATCCACCCACAGAAATAACACAAATCCTTTAACAAGAGACTTAAGAATAGTTAACTAAAGCCAACATAGCAACAAACTTCCCCTAAAAACACACCTTATCTCAGGAAGTGAAAACTATTCACTGCCTAAATTTCAATTAACTTTGTCATGCTTTTCAGAACCACAGCAGTTGCAAACTTGATTCACGTTATTATGACAGATAATTGCTTTTACAGGTCTGGCTTGGTGGAACTGGGGAAAAGGCTTGCCAAACTGTATTACATGAGTGAAAAACATTAAATAGACAGCTAACATGTCTCATCTCTTCCTCTACCTCTTCTCTCTTTTTTTTATATCTTTTGTAACCTCCCATAGAGGTTTATGTGTGTGCGTCTGTATGTGTCTGTGTCAGTAAAAGCCCAAACATTAGATCACAAGTTCTTGTTTATATAAGCTTCAATTTACCCTTCAGGCAGAAACTCAGAGATTTCCAAACACACAGATGCTTGCCGCTATCCAAATTCAATTTGAAATGCTCTGCACAACATCTCCTTTAGCTTAACTAACCTTGCATTGTTCAAATACTTCATAATGTGTTTTGATTGCCAAACATCATTACTAACTTTGCCATCGTTAACAAAGCTAATTGAAATACAAATAAATGTAATCCCATAAAATGTCAAATCTTCTGAAAAAAAGTATTTGTTTTATTAAATGCATAAATCTGATTTTACAAACACTTATTATACAACATTATTATAGAAATGTTATCATAAAACCAAAAGAAAATGATATTACCTGGTATGATCTTCCAGACACTGAAAGAGACCCTACAGGAGCCTGCAGGAATGGACCGTCATCTGCCAAGGTTTGAAGGACTATAATTTATTCACTTACAGCACAACCTAAGGAAGAGAGATAGAAACCCTGGGAGACAAAGCAAGGTTTACTCAGGGGATTGCCAAAGACTGATCCCCTCAAGGGAAAATTTGGAAGTCTGTGGAAGAAAGTGGGAGAACTGCGGAACCTAGCAAGCTCTGGGGAATGTAAGGTTTTGAGACCGTGACATGTTGCAGATCCTTTCCATAGGCACACGATGCAGGCAGCAATTCTGTGCTCCAGAAATAATTTAAATGAGAGAGATTTGGGAAGAGAGAACCAGTGTCACTAGCTTTCAGAAAAACTCATACTGCGTATAACACTAAGGAGTCTTCAACATCTCACCACTTATGAAATAATTTCAAGAGAAAACACAAAGCAAAACGTAACATAATTACAGACAAGGGAAGTAGAAGGTTTGGTATCATTAATCTCCATTTTGCCCACATGTAAACAGAAAGTAATCCTGCTTTTAACCTCATTGTTATTATAATTATTTTTGCTTTCAGACAAAACATGCTTTATAAAGTGGCTGCACATAACCTTTCCCAAAGTCACAAACATCTGAGTCTGTAGCAATGTCATTATCTGCTAGATTACCTGTTGAATAAGGAAGGACCATTCTGCATGGAGCTTCTTCTGCAGCACGTCCTCCTGCTTCTGCTTCTGCTTCTCTTTGATCCTCCTGTGCCTCACATAAAAGGGTCTCCAGTCTGCAACTTCCATTCTGCAGAATGGACACGCACAAACACTTAATAACTATTAGCTGACCCAACTTTACTGTTGTTATTTTTTCTCTAATGAGCTAGTTGCTGCAGAGTAAGCCAGTGTGGATGTGCAGCAAAACATTAACTCTGTTACAATGGACCATGACACAGTATTACTCTGCAGTGTTCCTTGCCAGAGACGATATTGTTGACATCTCAGTGAAAGATTCATCCTGGATACACCACAAGATACAGTAGGTAATAGCTTCTGCATGGGATGCTATCACGAACAGCTGAAATGCTGCACATTCGCTTCCTAATTTACCCAATGGTAACTTGCTCATCTACCTATAAGTGTTTGATGTATATTGAAAATATGCTGTTCCATGCCCACAGGGTATTCATATATTGTCCCCATCTGGCACAACACAAATTTATAGCAGGAATTGTTGCATAGCTTGAAAAATGTAAGCACAGTACGTTCTCCAAAATACATAGCAACATGCGTCTGTGTATCTTGTTCAGAAATATGTTAATGTGCATCTACAAGTAACAGCAAGTAAAAGAGGTTTTGGTTTAGGCACATTTTACCACTGGATTTATGTGGGCATGAGGTAACACCTACTTTTTTTCTTCAAAGAGCTAATCCACAGGCATAATTGAAACAAGTCCTTATTCTGCTCACTATAAATACGTACCAGATGTATCTCTTATAAATGTTACATTTTGTAGTGTGGTGGGATTTGCTACCCTGTGAGTATTTGTACCTGCGAGTTATGTTAGCCTTGATCCAAAGGGAAATAAAAATGAAGAGCATTGCATTCTAGGATATGGTGTGTCCTAGACGTGGTCACAGGCAAGTCTGTAAGTACAGTAAACAGCTACATTATCACCCTATTGATTTACTCTGTGTAACATGATGGCTTGATTGCTGTAAACAGGAATCATGCCACTAAAACAACAAACAAAATTGATTGTACTGGAGCGCACACGCTGTAATTTCCACTGGCTCTTAGGCTTGTTCTGGTATACACTCACAGATCATGGGGTTATGATTAGCTGTTCTTCATGGTCTAACAAGAGCATAAAGATGTGAAAATATTGTGAATACATTACATGGGTCAGGATCCTTAAGGATACGCTCTAAGTATTGGGTTGCTTGAGGTTAGAAGACATTTGAAAGAACTAATATGTAAAAGTGTCTTGACTTTAGATAACTCTGGGACTTCTTTTAGAGCTTTTCTTATAAAACAAGAGCTAGCCCATTTAAAAATATGAATATGCCAC